GTCCCGCTGACTCCCCCTTTCGGCCCCTCCCGCAGCGACGTCGCCCCGGTCAATGCCTTCCCCCGCAGCACCTCTCCGCAGTCGTCCGCCTCGGACTGGGTCTTTGACCTCGCCGCGCGCGACTGGGAGAAGTGGATCGGCCGACGCGCGGCCGAGCAGGTCAGGACCAGGAGCGGGTGCTACTCGCGCGTGCACCCGGGCACCGAGCTGAGGATCATCTCGCTCAATACGAACTACTGGTGTGTGCAGCTTGCGCGTTCTCTGGGAGTTGTTCGGGCGAGAAGACGAGCTGACAGAGGTGGCGGGGGCGGCACGCAGGTACAAGCAGAACTGTGCGACCCACATCGGCGCTTCCTCGCTCGCCGTTTCAGCAGCGCTGACCCCGTCTCCCGTCTCGCCCCGACAGTCTGGCTGTACGACTCTGACGTGCCGATCTGGGATCCGAACGGGATCCTCTCGTGGCTCGCCGAGGAGCTCGACGCGGCCGAGCAGGCAGGTCAACGCGCCTGGATCAGTGCGTCCTGCCCTCTCCCCTTTCCTTGCGTCGCGCTCGCGCTCGCGCAGAGACTGGAACGCCTGCACACGCAGTCGGACACATGCCGTTTGGCAAGGTCGACGCGATGCGTGACCAGAGCAACTACGCCAACCAGATCTTCCAGCGGTACCACGACACGATCGCGGCGCACTTTTACGGGCACAGGTGCGCGCGCTCTGCCCGCTGACTCGAGCTCTCTCTCCGACGAGTAGCGCTGACTGGCTGGCATGCACGACCCGCAGCCACGTCGACGAGTTTGAGATTGCGTACCCGGACTACGACAACCGCACGGCCGAGAACGCCAACGGCATTGCGTTCATCTCGGGCGCGCTGACGCCGACGAGTGGGAACCCCGTCTTCCGCGTTTACGACATCGACCCCGACTCTTACGAGGTCATGGACTTTGTGCCGCACTACGGTCCGTCTTCCCTCCCTGTTCCGCTCCCTGCGCCCGGGCTGACTGACGCTTTCCCTCTGTGTCCGCGCACTCCGCGCAGCCAACCGCTCCGACCCGCAGTTCCAGGTCGACCCAGTCTGGAAACCGTACTACTCTGCGCGCGAGAGCTACAACTCGTTCCTCGAGCCCGAGCACGCCTTTCCCGACTCTGCGCCCCTCAACGCCACGTTCTGGCACCGCGTCACAGAGGTCTTTGAGCGCAACCAGTACGTCCTCGCGCGTCCTTCTCTGTGTGGGGTCGGTCCGGTCGATCGAGGCTTGACGCTCCCTCCCATGGCGGCGTAGGACCGTCTTCCAGCTGTTCAACGAGCGCCTGTCGCGCGGGGGCAAGATCGAGGACTGCTCGGGCCCCGTGTGCAAGAACAACACGATCTGCATGCTCCGCTCGATGCGCAGCGAGTCCAACTGCGTGCGTGGCTGCCCTTCGTCTCTTGGGCGACGCGATGCGGGCTGATGAGAGGCGCACGCGCGCGAGAGGGCAGGCCGTCATCCAGCCGGGTTTGTCGTTCAAGGACCAGAAGCGCGACACGGACGTGCGTCCCTTTCCCTCGTAGTTTCCTTTCCCGCCCTTTGGCGCTCGCTGACGTGCGCGAGTCCGCCATCAGGCCGTCACCGAGCCGCAGCGCGACGAGGAGGCCTCGCCCTCGGCATCGTCCTTCTCTCCCGGTCCCGCACGCGCACCCGACGGGCCCGGACAAGAGGAGGAAGAGTTTGCCCAGTCGAGGCAGCACGACTTCTTCGCGTGCGAGGGGCCCGGACTCGCGAGCATGCTGCGCAAGCTCGGCAGCGGGCTCGCACTGCCGCCTCCTGCTGCGGGTGCTCCGGGGCCGCCGGGGCGGCTCGGGGTGCTGAGCGCGGCGGGGAGGAAGAAGAAGGGGGCCAAGGAAGCGCAGGCGGGCTCTTTCTCTCCGCCTCTCGCATGCCGACCGCACGTGCTGACGAGATGGCCATCGCACGCGCAGTTCTCGGCGCTGCGGGCGTTTGAGCAGGAGGCGCACGGGGCGGTCCGGAGGCACAAGCACCGGGGGCGCAAGCAATGGCTCAAGAGTCTCGTGGGCGCGGGGATGTAGATAGCCTAGACAGCGGACCTGTTGTATCAATTCCCCTGGCCCAAGGCATTTCGTACGAGGGAGGAGAAAGCTCGCGTTGGGAAGGTCCGAGAGATCGTGCATTGCACGGCCTGCGTAGCGGCTGTCAAGGCGAGACCCCGTCGCCTCTTGCTCTGTGACGTCTACGAGGACGCTCGCGCTCTCGGGTCGCGACTGACGCCGGCGGAGGATGAGGAGGCCCCGACGGCGGCGACGATCGAGCATTGCTCCTGCGCAGGCACGGCCGTTTGTCGGTCAGCGGTCAGCGGTGTGGAGAGGGTTTTCAAGGGGTGTCGAGACGCACAGATGCTGCTGGGAGCCTCGGCTCGGGGGGCGCAACGGGCGTCGATGGGCGCGGGCCCGTCACTCGTGCGCGAGTCGGAGTGGGCTCAGCGTCCCAAGCCCTCTTTGCCGCCCTTTGCGACCCAGCCGAGCGGCCAGGGTTCGGTAGCGGGCACGACGACCTTCTTGACGCCTGGCGAGCCGTACGTCTCGAGCATCTTGTCGCCGCGGCGCATGAGGTGCTCGATCGCCGAGACGTCCTTGCGCTTGAGGCCGCCGCCGAGAGAGGGGTGGCGGAACTGATGAGAGACGAAGGCGAACCAGGCGGGGCGGTGTTCCTGCGATGCGGAGAGAGGGAGGGATGAGGGTGAGCCGACGACCGGGCGGGGCCGCGGAGGAGAGGGAGCGCACGAGTGGCTTGGAGGCGACGAGCTGGAGGGCGCGCTTGTAGAGGGTGTAGACCTGTCGCTGCAGTCCAGTGATCCTGCGTGGAGCCATGATGGTCGGTGGAGGTGTGGGCTGCGAGAGAGCTGGTTGCTGCTGGCTCGACTCGAGACTCGGTGCGACCTTAGCGTCAAGTCGTCGACGCCGAGTCGGCGCACCCCCCCGTCCTCCCTCCCCCTCCTCCCCCTCTCACCCCACCTCGTCCCCTTCGCCTCTCAGACCACCATGGTGAGCTCCAGCCGCCACCTTGATCTCTCTCAGCGCCCCCTATGTCGGCTCCAGCGCCCCGGCGGCCACGCCCACCCGCTCGTCCCCCCTCGCACCGCGTCATCAAACCTCGCCCGCTCATGGCTTTACAGCCCCGCCGGACGCGCACTCAAGGCACAGCGGTGTCCCCCACTGTTCTTCTAGATCACTGAAGACGCTCACGACCCGCCTGTGCACTCGACCGCACCTGGGGGAGCGGGCAGCGTGGGGCGTGGGCGGCTGGCTGCCCGTGACCTGGCGCGTCGTCAGGCGTCACACAGGGCGCAACCATGGGCGGAAGGGCGCCCCGGGGGTGCACCTGCTCGCGCCTCTTGATGGCTGTGCGAGCGTACCAGGGGCGGACGTCGGGGCCGGTCCGGGGAGAGAAGGCGCAACCCTCGTGCTCTGTAGCGATAAGCGTCCGTACTGACCGCAGAGCTTTCGTCCCCGCCCCCGACAGTCGTCCGGTGTCGCCGTCCACCCCGCCTGCCTCGAGGCGTACCAGTCGCTCAAGCTTGGCAAGAGTGCGCCATCCTCTGCTCCCCCCACTCCTGACGCGTCGCCCAGGCAGCCAGCTCACTCGCGGTCGCTGCGGTGCACACAGAGCTCAAGTTCATCGTCTTCAAGCTCTCGGGCGACAACAAGGAGATTGTCGTCGACACCCAGTCCGAGTCGGCGTCGTACGACGACTTCCTCGAGGCCCTCCCGCCCAACTCGCCTCGCTACGCCGTCTACGACTTTGAGTACGAGAAGGGCGAGGGCAAGCGGAACAAGCTCTGCTTCTACGCATGGTGCGTTCCCTCGAGCTGTTTCGCGTCGTCTTGTGAGCGGAGCGTTGACCTCTCGCCTCGTTCCCCAGGTCCCCGGATGAGGCAAAGATCAAGGACAAGATGCTGTACGCTTCGTCCAAGGACGCCCTCCGCCGGTCGCTCGTCGGCATCGCGTCCGAGATCCAGGGCACCGACTCGTCCGAGGTTGCCTACGACGAGGGTGCGTCCCTTTCTTCCCGACGACTCGAGTCCTGTCACGCTGACGGCTCCCTCCTCGGACAGTCCTTGACAAGGTCACGCGCATGTCGTCGTAAAGTGCAGTTTCTGTAACCTCTTGTCGTGCACCAGTTACCCTCCCGCGCGCGTGGTCCCCTGGCGTCTCTCCTATGCCGAAAATCGCGCTTTATTCAGTCCCGATCTTGGGGCGAGTGTCCCTGGCTTCTTGTCTCGAACCCTGCCGCTTGTGCTGTCGCTTGCAGCCTGGAGCTTCCTGCACCTCTTCCGCTTGTCCGGGCAGGTCTCGCTGTGATCTGCAGTTGCCGTCGCCGGCTGAGGATCTGACCGCGATTCCCTTGGTCTTGCCTTGCTTGTCTCGCAATGCCCTCAAGTTTGCCTAGTTGTGCGCAGTCAGAGAGCCTTGCACTGACCCCTGGTGCCCCTTGCTTCCGAGGTTGAACTTGCGCGCGTGCGGCTGCGCAGTGCGGTCGGCACTGGGGAACGAGCAACTGCGACACCGCGCTATATATTGGACTGCTGCAATGACAAAAGCTGTGACCCGTCCTTGCTTGAGGCTGTGGCGCCTGCTGCGGCAAACCATGTGTGCGGGGAGGTCAGTGCGCCAGGCTCCTTTTGCCACTCTTTGCAAGGCTGCCTTCTCTCTGCTTGCTCTTCTTGCATGTTGGCTGAAGAGGGCAGTCTCTGTGGCCTCTTGCTGTCCACCCTGGCAGTCAGCGCAGTGTGCTTGCACACGCACCTTCAACGGAACCGGTCCGTGTGTCTGGCCCTGCCGTCTCGCCGGCTCGTTGGGTTGACAGCGCAGAGCGCAGTCAGGTGTAGGTCCAGCAAAGAAAGAAAAAAAGAAGGAAGAGACGGACAGCCGGAGAGCTGGGAGGCTGAGCCGGCTCTGGGCGGCGGGCGCCTCCTCGGCGGAACCTCGCGGAACCTCGGAAACAAAAGATTGACCACGATGGGGCTCGAACCCACGATCTCCTGATTTATACGGGCGAACTCCGAAGAGCGCGCCGTCGTAGTCAGACGCCTTGCCATTGGGCCACGCGGCCAGTTGCTTGAGGAGTGCATCCCCACCAGACGTACAGATTACGGCTTAAGCTTTATTCGCTCGAGGGGCTACAGTCAACCCTCAGTAATCACATAACTATGTAAATCAATACCCTCTCTTCACCCTTGAGAAATGGCTTGCATCGTTGTTTTCACGGTGAAATTGTGACTTCAGTGGGACCACACATCTGTATGCCATAGCCATATCAGAACAGCAATCTTGAGCCAAATTTATGGCTTGTTGAAAGGGCTTGTGAGGCGCAAGAAGGCCCAGGGGACGGCAAAACGCACGCTGGCAAGGTCGGAGCAAAAGCACCGGTGCCGGGCATGGATTCAGCCAAGGTCTGTCCGCCCTACGCGGCTCTCGGCAGACATTCGCGGCTTTTGGCTGCGCAATCTACGAGTTGCGTTGTGATGCAGTTGTGATGAGCCGGCAACAGCTGCCTCATCCGGCGCCAAAGCTCGCAGGGGAGAGCTCTGTCAAACGAGGGCGGCTCGCCGACGGCTTGACTCCTTCCACAATCCTGTTGACAAGGCTCAACGGTTGCCTCGAACGGCGTGCTCCTTGCTTGAGTCGACAGCGTCACA